TGGTGCTGCCGTTACTGGTTGGCGCAGTCGAGGCTTTGCGACTCGGGACAAGCGAATGCCCCTTTGCCGCGGTCTGACGGGCACGACATGAATTGCACACCCATCCAGTGACGCGGATGGCAGGCCTCGCCCTCATGGACAACAGGAGAAGACGTTGCAATTGATAAAGAAAGAATGCAAGGTGTGGTAATCAATGCAAAATTCCTAGACTCGAAATCACCAGAAGATTCACGGTCCAACCAGTAGGAAAAGAGGGAAGCAGTCCAAACTCTTCGAATGCTTCTATTCCTCCGCCGTCCGGGTTAATCGTCAGGTATCCATACACATGCAGCCCTATACCTGGTAGTGAATAATAATTGCTTGCGCGCCACCACTGGATCTGTTGAAGATTAGGCCCGACTTTTCGTGCTAGCTCGCGCTGGGTTGAACGAAAACTGCGAAGTCAATCTCCACTCATCTTTCTCACAGAACCTGTCGATTAGTTGTCATCTGCTGGATGCCTCGAAGCGTTTAATTATTTTCCACTTTCCATCAACACCGACATTCTCTGCTTCCCGCACATATCTCTCGATACACACATCTCCCAATAGATTTGAAACAAAAACATGGACGGCGATACCCCCAACACTGGCGCCGAGATTGATCTCTACGAGATCCTCGGCGTCCCCAGAGATGCCTCTCAAGCCGATATCCGCAAAGCATACAGAAAAGCGGCTCTCGCCAGCCACCCCGACAAAGTGCCTCCCGAGGAGCGAGAAGAGGCAGAAGCTCGTTTCAAAGCCGCCTCCCAGGCTTACGAAATCCTTTACGACGACGAAAAGAGACATCTCTACGATGCCCACGGCATGGCTGCCTTCGATGGGTCCCGCGGGCCCGGGGGCATGGGTGGGGAGGTGAACATGGAAGACATCCTCAACCTGTTCGGCATGGGTGGTGGGATCCCGGGGATGGGCATGCCGGGGATGGGCATGCCGGGGATGGGCGGCCGCAAAATGCGACGAAGTCCCGATGAAAATCAGAAATACGAAGTCACTCTGGAAGATTTGTACAAAGGCAAGACTGTCAAGTTCTCTTCCACCAAGAACGTCATCTGTTCGAAATGCAAGGGTACCGGTGGTGCAGAGAAGGCACAAGCAAAAGAGTGCTCCGCTTGCAAGGGGCAGGGTGTCAAGCAGGTTCTGAGCCAGGTGGGTCCGGGCATGTTGACCCAGCGCATGGTCGAGTGCGGTGCCTGCGAGGGTACAGGCCAGGTTTTCAATCCCAAGGACAAATGCAAGAAATGCAAGGGCAAAAGGGTCACGGAAGAGAAGAAGCAGCTCGAACTCTACATCCCCCGTGGTGCTCGGGAAGGCGATCAAATCAAACTCGAAGGCGAGGCAGATCAGATCCCAGGGGCGGAGCAGACTGGAGACATCATTTTTCACCTTGTTGAGCAGCCTCACGAGGTGTTCCAGCGCACGGGCAACGATCTCAGCGCAAAGCTCGACGTCACCCTCGCCGAGGCGCTGACGGGCTTCCACCGCGTCGTCCTCAAGCACCTCGACGGGCGGGGCATTGAACTGAGGCACCCGCAAGAACCAGGCCAGATCCTCCGCCCTGGCGAAGTGCTCAAGGTCCACGGTGAAGGCATGCCGCTCAAGAAGTCTGACGCAAAGGGAGATCTCTATCTCGTCGTCGAGATCGCCTTCCCTGAAGATGGCTTCTTCTTGGATAAGCCCGAGGCGTTGGAGCAACTGCAGAAACTCCTCCCTGGCCCGGAGCCACCGATCGAAGCCGAGGAAACCGACGAGGTGAGTTTCGAGGTGGCAGACATTGACGAAATCGGAGGCCAGGAGGCCCAAGGAGCGTGGGAGGATGAAGATGGTCCGCAGGGTGCGCAGTGCCAGACTCAGTAAGCAAAAGATTAGGTTTCCGGGATGTCAAGGGGCTGGTTGGACGGACGCGACACGACGTTATGACTCAAAAGACATCCAGAAACAAGGGATGGGGGAAAGCAAAGCATTAGACGGCGTTTTTGATGCAGGGTTTCTTGGGGAAAGCATTGTACCGGCGTTGCTCTAGAAATGACGAGTTGGGCTCGCTCCTGAGACGAAGGAAGATCCATACTCTCCCATGTTGTAGAGAGGTTTCTTCATGTCCGTGCTCCCAGGCTCCGATTTGATCTGATTCGGGTTACCGCGTTGTTTGATGGTGGTTGATGCTGGGTGGCCGGATCTTCCTGGCTCGAAGGTATTGAATCTATCCAAGCTGAAATATACATCTCCTCTAGGTGACCAAGTCTTAAGAACATGAACGATGCTCCACTTTCTCCCAGCATAAGAGACCTTCCTTTCTGGCCCCTGCTCTTTTCCGCATCCTGATCCGCTCCGTTCTCGACCGGCTCGGGCTCGGGCGCTCCTGATGCTCTCTAGCGCCCGTCAAATTTCTTCTTCAGCCTTTCCGGAGTAACTCTGTAACATGTGGGAAACCAACTCTTGAGCTCCTCGCCGTCTGTCCCTTCAATCATGCTTGCAGCGGCTTTTGCGCACAAAAAACACAAGACCATTCCATGCCCCTGGAACGAGGCAGCCAAATATAGCCCTTGCTCACCGGGCACAGGTCCTACAAAAGGATAACCGTCGCATGAGAAGCCCATGACGCCAGACCAGATTCGCCGACATCGACCTTCCGGGTTGTCTTTGCCCCAATTCTTCGCGCCAAAGTATCGCTCTGTACATTCCAAGAGATAGTCTGCGCTGTTCTTGTCATAGGTGGTATCATCAGTATTCCCGTATTCGGACGTTCCCTCGTCTTGTGCAACGTGCATACCACCTCCGATCACAATGTCACCCTCAAACTTGGAGCCGGCAGGGCGAGAGATCATGTATTCAAAGCCTTCATCGTAGACAAAGGAGTAGGTAGTTTCTAGTCCCTTTTGAGGCATGCTCTGTCCAGGCCGTTGAGCTGTCACGACTCCTCGCAAAGGGACGATCACCCCTTGGAGTTGCGGATAGAGGTGTGCAGTATAGCCATTTGTAGCTAGGACGAGTGTTGTGGCTTTGATATTGCCACGTGGTGTCGAGATGGTCCACTTCCCATCTGCAGTACATCTGGACAAGCTTTTTGCAGGAGTGTTGCATTGAAGGTTAAGTCCCTTTTGCAGAGCGAGCTTTAGTACGCCGATCGTGAACTTGTACGCACTCAGACTCCCTGATTCATACTCAAGCCCTCCAACACTGTTCGGTGCCAGAAATTTCTCTGCCGTCTCCTGGCTATTGTGGAAAATGTGCTTCGGAGCATTTTCCTTGCCCATCAACTTCTCCATTAGCACGACCGATTCTCGAGCCTTTTCAAATTGCTTCTCGTCGTAAAAGACGTCAATGGTTTGACACCTCACAGAATCGCAGTCGATGTTGTTCTCGCGGGCGAATTTGTGAACCGAGACCATGCAGTTGTATTCTAGGTTGGTGATCTTCATGGCATCTTCTGCCCCCACAGATTGAACATTGTCGAGGAAGGATCGATAGGTAGCTGTCTTAGTGTGACCTCCTTCAAACGGGTCATGTTAGGGAGTGCTCGTGAACCATGAAGGAGAGAGGTCGTCTTATCAGCTGGTAAGAAGGACAAACGTCAAGGAGGACAAGTCAGTTTCTGGTGACTCCAGACCTACCATTTCGACCACTGGCACCACTGGCAGCCTGACGTGCCTCCAGAAGTACAACCTTGAGGGCTGGATTCGATGAAAGCAGATTGTAAGAAATAGAGGCGCCGCTGACTCCTGAGCCAATGATGGCTATATCAACCTCATCGGGGAGTTCGGCGGTCGTGCGACAATCTGCTATCTCATCGGGTGGATCTTGCCAGTAGCTCTGGATAGGATGATCGCGGGGCAGACCTGGAGGTATACTGGCTCTTTGTTCCATTGGAAGAAGCAGGGAGGACACGATCGAGATCTGAGAGGGCTGGAGGAGAGTCGAGGAAGCTGACAGAGAGTCAGACAGAGGACACTGTCTGGCACTATATGGGGAGTACCGAGCAGTGGACCTCACAGTGACCGGGAGCACTAATCGTGGCACCGATCAGCCCGTGAGGTTACATAAAGGAGAGGCAATAGAGATATTTCGGCTGATTGTACGAGCGCAGGCAGTTGCCTCACGTGACTCAACCTGCGGCAGCCCCAACCCTTTGCCGGACTAACGCCGCTTGCGGCTGCTAAGCCAGTAGTCAGAGGGCGCCTAGCAAACCTGGCTCGCGGGTGGAGGTGGCTGCCGGGTGGCTGCTGGGGGGTCCTGGCACCTGGGTGGTGCTGGCAGCCCGGCGCCTGGGCTCCAGTCTTTCGCTCGCCTCGCCTTCTCGTCTTTGCCCCGTCACCTGTCGACCTCCGACTTTCGTTTCTGTCTTTGTTCTTCCCAAATCCCTTCCGACCAACAACTCTCCGCTCCCATTCTCACTCACCACCTCGTTCCCACCGACGTCTTGAGTGTTGCGCCCGTCCGATACCTCTCTCCTGCTTGTCTCTGACGCAAGCCGTATCCGCCATCATCGTCATCCCCTCCCGAAGTCACCCATTGATACAAATCGATCAAAGTGACGCCCCGCTCCACCACTACCCAAGTGACAGCTTTGCTGGATCACAGCGCTCTCTTCGCGACTCCTCCGCTATCGACGGTGGCGCGCAAACCACCGCGGAAGGACTTCATTTGCGCGATTTCATGTCCTCTACAAGCCGGCCAACTGCCATCCCGCCATCCCCAACTTCTCCCTCTGAATCGGGCCTCAAGCGACGGCGCCTGTCTGACAATCTTCCGCACTCCCCCATTTCCCCTTCTTTTATGTCAGTCGCTACAAAGAGCTATGTCTCCTCTTACGGAAATACACATAATTCCGACGAGACTTCGGGGCGCTCGTCTCCGAACTCACCAAAGGCTTCAGCACCGCGTAACCAACAACCGTTGTCCCGTACCACGCCGTCCCTGCCAACCCCTGCGCACAGTGTGACGGGCACTTCCTCTGGATTTGAAATGGCTGATGATATCGATTCACATCGTGACAAGCGTCAAAGACTTGATTCGGATAGAGATCAAGAGGCGGATCAAATGGAGGTAGAACCCCTTGGAGAGGCAACAAATCATGATCGGAACGATGAGATGGAAATAGAGGGCGAAATTGCTACCAAGGAGAACAGCGCTGAACTGGGAGCTACTGGAAAGGCTGCAGAGCTAACGGTGGATGAGAAGACCCTGGACCAACTACAGAAAGATATGGGTGAAGCCTTTCTTCTCTGCAGATCCAGTAAGACTCTCCACTTCTCCACCACTCACAATCTATCCTTGCAGGTTTGTTAACAGACATTCTCACAGAAGTTGAGCGCCAGAAACCGAACCCGCAGCAGCATTTGTTGGCATTATATGGTCTGGGCCCATTATTGCACAGTGTCGCTCGCACCGATCCGAGGACTGGTGAGAAAATAAATAAGCTGCGGAAATCGTACGAGGGTCAGATCAAGGGATTCGCTCTGGCGGGGCGGAACAAACCTGTCAAGGGCGAACGTAACGTGGAAGAAGACCAACCTGGACCGTTACGGCGCATGGCTGGATCGTCTGCTTGGGGCCTTCAACCAGATGAGCAGTGGAATGCAGAACACGCAAAGTCCAAGATTGAAGTTACGCCTGACTTCCGAAACAAGTTGAAACAAGCCATGCAAATGCAGCCAGGCACAGTTCGCAACAACGCTCACTGGGAGGATATGCTCGGATTCGATAAGCCGAAACCGAACGTGGCTCCGGTGCAACAACCAACCCCTCGGCCTGTCGCAAACGGGGTGGTACGACAGTCTCAACAACCATCTGCAGAAGCCAAACGACAGACTCGTGGGAAAAAGCGGAGTTATGGTGATGATAGTTTTGTCGGCTACGGAGAAGGCTATTCGGACCCAGAAGATGGCGATGGCGACGAATATGGCAGCCAAAGAAAACGGAAAAAGGTGATAGCCACGGACTACTGATGGATTGATCTGTGACTTACACAGCCTCAGGTTTCGTCTGGGACACCTCTTCCCTATGGACCAGATCGCTAAACGCGGTCGGCAGTCCCGTTTGGCGGCCATGCATATTCACGACATCACCTTTGAATGCATATTCTTTGCCATATTTTGCATGCACGGGATGTTTTCAAGATACCCTAATGAGGACAGATAGAGAGAACAGAAAAAGGGACACGGGCGATGGGCGGTCAAAACTCGTGGAGGCGTTTCAGAAGGGGGAGGGTCGGTCTTTGTCTTTCGCATGCTATTCCAAGCATTGAACATTGGGCTGCAGGGAGGATGGAGGCAGGATATTCGTGGTTTTCCCTGATTCGGGATGGCGAGTGACGGTTTCTACTATTACTTCTGCTCGATCAGCGTCGACAGAGCTCAAACTACAATGGGGGGAAAATAGCGGCGGCCTCCGGATGACATTGCAGGTCTGTTCACGCCTTGTGGCATCGTCCTGAGGCGCGTTGTGTACGAGCGATCATGACACTAAATGAACAACACATTCATCGAAAACCTGCCTATATATCTTTCACCTGTCTCATAATGCCGCCTTTGATTGTTCCGGGAGAGACGAGGTATTCATATTTCACGGTTGCAGTCGTGTTTTCTTCAAGTGCAGCCACACCATTTCATCGACCTCGCCAATTGACTTGATACGAGCTCGATCTGCTTTGTAGGTCAAACTCTTCCACCCAAAGAAACACAGCCCAAAGACAAGATGGCTTCGTCCTATCTACCTATGCCCGAGCCTACCGTGCCCAAAAGACCACTATCGTCCTACAAACTCATCTCGTACGACATCTACGGCACGCTCATCGACTGGGAGACGGCCATTGTGAGGCTACTTCAACCGCTAGTCTCGCGCATCCCCTCATCCTCCCCCCTCAGCCAGGAATACCAAGACAGCACGAGCCCTGGGACCGAAGGACGGATCCGACTCGCGGCGAAGTACAACGACATCGAACATGAGTTGGAGGAAAAGAATCCATCTCAACAGTATGACGAGCTCCTGCACGACATCTACCTGCGCATCGCGTCCGACTTTGGCCTCGAAGTCACCGGCTCGACCGAGGAGGAAGCAAAGCGGTTCGGCGAGAGCATAGGCACCTGGACACCGTTCCCGGACACGGTCGACGCGTGCCAGCGGCTGGTGAAGCACGGGTTCAAGCTGGTGCCGCTGTCCAACGTCGACCGGGCCAGTTTCGCGCGCACCTGCTCGGGACCGCTGAGCGACGTCGACTTCTTCCGCGTCTACACGGCCCAGGACATCGGCTCGTACAAGCCCGACCTCCGCAACTTCGAGTACCTCATCACGCACGCCAAGGAGGACGCCGGCGTGGAGAAGCACGAGATCCTGCACGTCGCGCAGAGCATCTTCCACGATCACATCCCGGCCAAGAAGATGGGGTTGGCCAGCGCGTGGATCAACCGGAAGGGGGCGGGCATGGGTGGCAACGAGGCTATCAGAGGCATCCATGAACGGGGAGAGGTCGGGTATGGATGGAGGTTTGGGACATTGGGGGAGTTGGCAGATGAGGTTGAGAGGGAGAAAGGACAGGGAGGGAAGTAGTGTATCGCAGTGGAGGATCTTGACATGTTGTTCTTCGTCTTTGATGCCATTGCCAGTGCCCTGTCTCAGAGCCGCGCTCCCCAAGCCGTCTATCTTACATCCCCGTCTGTCAAGCCTTCTCGTGAAAGTCGGCGCTACACAACAACCTTCTCTTATACTCCTTTCAATCTTTCTTCTCCGAGACGTTTCTGGTTGTGCAAGAGCCTTTGCATTCCGTCTTGGATCACTGCTCTCGGTGATGGGAGCCCTGCCCAGTTAGATCTGGTTGTTTCGGTCAGTCAGTATTACGCTGTAGACTTGAAACGGTTGTCGAGCTGCTTACCTGCAGGGTCTTCTGGTCCCAGCCCTTGGTGAAACCTTTAATCTTTTCCACATGGTGTGACTGTTCGTTGCTTCAATCCCATTGTATGGCTTTCCGACATGGCTCCCTTCTGCCGTATGCCTCAGCAAAACATGGCCCGTTTTGGCAAATACTTTGTCGAATCGCATGATGTGCAGGTCTGAAACGCCGGCCATCACAACGGCGTGTGAGTCCGGGTAGTCCATGGGTATTTCGCAGTCCGAAAGGCCTCTGGTGCCCAGAACCAGCTGTCACTGTGACAGAGGTGTGAAACAGATTGATCGCCTTTGTTCTGGGTTGGGAAGTAGGCGATGGCCATGTATTGTTTACATATGTCGATGTTGTGCTGATTGTGCGGAGAGAGGTTCAGTCAGTCTTGTGATATAGAAACATATGCAGTGTGCTCTCGAATGTGATAGACAGGGTATTCTCGCCTCTTCCTCTGGCGTTTGATCTATGGACATGAGCCCTTTGAAGACATTGTCGCGATCCGTGTAATTCAGCTAGCAGGAACTCTCAGAAACGATTTGCTCGCTACACTCCTGAATTTCTTCTCTGTGATGACTCGAGTGTACATTTCGAGTGCTGCAACGGGGTTCTGCTCGCTTGAAATCATAGTGAAGGTTCAATGAGGTAATGCGGGCGAGGAGTGTGTTGGTCAGTGGCCGGCGCATGCGACTTGGCTTCAGGGAGTATTTCGATCACTCCGAGACGCTGTTAGCTGATGTGGTGTTGGAGGGGGAGGGATTATACCTTCCTCAGTTAATCCACCGATCTCGAGCGAGCAGATACGCCTCAATAGATGTATGTGGTCGTGCGGTGTGGGGGACGAGCCGAACATCAGCCGCGCCAGACTTCATCGTCTTCGTAGTTTGCTTTGCCTTTCTCTTCTTTCCTTCCCACAATCTTCCATTACTCGGCAGAGGCAAAACGCTAAACTATGGCACGCAGATCCATTCCTCGAGTCACAGCACATTTGCCGACAGGTATGGACGAGATTCGCGATCTTCGAACCAGAGACGAGGCTCTCGCTCCGAGGTCAAGGTCATTAAACCGATTGAGGAAATGTAGCAATAAGCCACACTGCAGCCCCTGCTTGGCTTCTGCCCAATAGTCGACAAGATGGCTGGATCTCCCCCAAGGTCTTCAGGACACCGTCCATTTCATTCAATCTTCTTGTTCCACCTCTGCTTAGGAGCCCTTTCCTCCTGAACCATGTCTCTGAGGTTTTCACATACATACTCAACAGACGGTCATGGCAAATGCTCGCCGCAGTGCTCGATCCAATCTTTTCATCCAACATGATCCAAATGCTTCCCGTTACAGCCAACGACTCTCGAAGGAGCAATGGGAAGATATCAGGCCCAGAGTGGTGGCACTCTGCAGTCAAGACGTCAGTATTTCTGGCATCCTACGAGAGTTGCAGTCCAGTAATATCTCTGTGACACGAAACCAACTTGACGGGAAAATGAAGAGATGGGGGCTTAAGGGGAGCACTCAAGGGCCTTCAACGCAGGCCATGCTTGCTGTTCCATATGCCGCAATGTCGGAGCAAGCAGCCATTTCGGGAGAGAATGCGAGAAATCCAGCAGAGCTACTCTCGCAGAGTGCTAACTCTTCATTGTCGACTATGAACCCTGCTGGTTCAAGTTACGGCTCGGCTCCCGAATCCAAACCGCCTCAACTCGAGGAAGCCTCCCCATTCGAACCTACCGGACTGAGCCGAATCTCGAAGTCGCAATACATAGCAGACGCATCCGACACCGATATCATCATGACCGAATATTCCGTTATTCCACCTACCATGGTGCCGTCAGAAAGCTCGGCTGGTGCTGCTGCATCTGATCTCCAACCTCAAGCCAGAGAGATGATGGAAACAGAAGACAATAACATTACGCAGAGTTTCACCCGCAAACAAGATTCTCCCAAGCACAGCCTGGGTCAAAACCCGCACCGTCTACCCCAAGTGCTACTGGACGAACGTCATCCGAGACTCGAAATTAATTCGTTATGTTTCGATGATGAGGGCCTAATACCCCGGATGTTCTGCTTTTTTGTCACCGAATATGGCGCTTCTGTTGGTGTTCTCAGACGCCTCGGATACATGGCAACGCTGCTTTTGACATTGAATTTCCAGAGCGAGGCGTATCAGATGTCACTTCGTATTGTCGATCAGATCAATCGACAAGCATCGGTTCAGGGGGTTTCGCGTCAGCTTCTGCCGTTATATGTCATATCGTGTGCTCAATGTGCTGGCTCAGTGGGCGAAAGATTGGAAGCAATGTCGCTTGTTCGACAGACATATAATTGGCTGTCAAGGTGCCATCGGTCTGGACAGCGCACCGGCCAACAGACTACGTCATGTCTGGAGGTCCTCCTCCAAGTGGAGGAAGATAACCCAGTGCAGCGAGATAAGGTGACGGCCTACTGGCTCTTGAACACTGCGCTCTCCGATTTCCAGCAAGACGACGAGCACTTTATTTGGTCAGAAATGTTGTCATGCCACAGCTTTGACAGCGCCTTTCATCTTCTCCGCGAGGACAGGGATATCTTGAACTTGATGAAGAATGCGATTACCAAGATAAAGAAGAGTCTACAAGCCTATAGGAAAGAAATCGATGGGCTATGGTGTGGCAACCTACGAGCCTTCGAAGACGATCTCTACATAGGCCGAGAATTGGCACGCTTGGTTTTGGAGCCTCGTGTGTCACAAGATGCTGGACATCTCGATGGTCTGGTCTCTCCTGAGAGCGCAGAAGATTTTGGTAACTCAACACTTGTCTCTCAACTCCTGGAACCAGTCTTGTCGGTGATGTGTGTTATGATCGGCAAGCAGGGGAGAAGAGAATGGATCGGTGACGGACATTGGAGCGCCTCAACCACCAACTTCAAACTCTCAGCTATGCTCATGGATGCGGCTCTGTCAATCCAGCGAGCAGTATGCCGTGGCCGGAAGGTTGAAGGTGGTGATGTCCTTGATGGTTTGATAACGACCGACAGCTATGAAGCTTCATCGGCGCATGTCTTCGCGAATTAAATGCCAGGGAGATGAGGAA